GTGACGGAAATGTTACGCCCCTTAACATACTGTGATGCCGTGTGTCCCGGCGCGACGAGACAAAAACATTAAAACCCATTATAAAAGAGGCTTTTGTTGCATCCAGTGGGGACATAATTACTGATTATAATGACTTATACGGTCTCTTTAAGCATTGCGTTGCATCGCGCTGCGTAAACATAAAACCATGTCTGTATTTGTGATCGGAGAAACGACAAACTACAAACATCACTCTACACTGCTCAAAACTTGCGTTTGAATCGTCAGTGGCAAATTTTTTAAATATGAAATACGTACTTACAGTCTGTGAGTCAGAAAAGCCGGCATTGTAGTCTACTCTCCCAGGATCAGGAAACAGTCCTCCATAAAATGGGCTGCACACATCTGAATATTTGGGTTGAACTGTTCTGGAACAGTGTTGTAAACACAACTTAACCACTGATTTCTAGTCGTGTCTTCTTTTGGAAGGCCAAACAAAGTATTTTCGCTTTCGCAACGAAACACACAGCGTCTTCACAACATGGTGGCGGTGGCGGCAACAATAAAGTTACGCCTTCTTTCTTTGCGTGAACATTTGGGATGCGTTATGCAAATCTTCCCACACAGTGATGTAGATATGTGGGGGCGTGTTTAAAACGAGGCGTTTTAGCAGGGCGTGGACGAGTCTTAACTTTATAAGGAATATCTCTTTAGGTTTGAGACTTTAGTCTTTGCAACTTTAGGGATCTTATCTATTCACGAACAGCTTGTAACACTCCAAAGAGAAAGGAAAACTTGAAATCGCATCATATAACTTTTATAATCGCATGTAATTTCAAGTTAAACAGATACTTAGAGAAGCTTAGAAAAGCATAGGTCAAGACCTCAAAATATGCATCAGGAACTAAGTGGGTTAAAGTAAAGTAAAGTAAAGTAAAATAAAATAAATAATAAAATCACAAATAAAATAAAATAGACTAGTGACGCCACCTGACAAGGAAAGTCAATTCAGAGGTGAAGAGTTTGTTTTTGATTAGCTATGAAGACACATGAAAATTCTGAATTTTTTTCAACGAGTTGCAATGATGAATCATGCAAAATAAATAAGAGCAAGAATGTGCTTTATGTAAGAAAATATGTTCAATTTAGATGTCATGTTGACTTCTGAAGGACACACGCAGTGAACAACACTGTGAATTTCCAATGACATCAGTCCGATGAAAGCGCAAATGAACACTATACGGAAACACAAATGTAGACAAAAGCCCTCATTCACAATAAACAAACACTAGTGTTTGACAACTGCTGAAGATGATGTGAGTTTTGCCGGAGTGTGAATGCGAGCCACATCAGTAACAGTGATGCTTAGCAAACACCACTAATGACAAAGCATCAGCATCGTATTGCATTCGATTCCTTCGTTTTCTAAACACGTTGAGACATGACATCTTTTTTTATTTGAATCGTATGCAATTGTGGTTAAACCAGAGCCAACAAAAGCAGCTGAAATGGGTTTAAAGGTGAACATGGCACCCGGGCCGATAATTAGATGTCTAGGGATAGAAATGGCTGCTTGAGTTACCTGTCTGTAGCGGGGAGAGCAGGTGTTGAGGCCAAACAGCCTCGCTGAAAAATGCACACATGATGATAATTGCTTAGCAGGGTCTCATCTATGGGAGCTCCAGTCTGGGAATGTGTGTCTCGCCGAGTTAATGATCTCAGATTCTTCAATGGCCAAACACACACACACACAGCCTGGACCGGCGTACAATGATTTGTTGTAGATGAAAACATGCCTATGGTAATACCTGTCGACTCTGGGGAAGCTGCCGCTGATAATGGTGCATGCTGAGAAGTGTTTTGCATGTACATAAAAACAGAAACTCTGGGGAAAGAGCGAGAGCTGGAAACAAAGAGCAAATTAAGCTGTGAGATTGTTCAGCATGATGCTCTGTGGTGAGAAACCGGTTTACAGTTGTCAAAGTCTTAGTCTAGCCTTTAGTGCTAGGATTGGGCAAAAACCTGAATTACAGAACTGACTCCATTCAGTTTACAAGTGTGATATTTGAACTGAATTGGCCACAGATGTTGACAGTAAGTGGAATTTATTAAATTGCTATTCAAAGAAATTCCACATTATCTCACAGATGTTTTGGTAAAAACTTTTGACTAACAATGTAAATACTTTTTCCGATTAGACTTTTCACTTAAAAAAAGGCATAACCATTTTTTTCACATTTTGCCTTACAGCGCTATAAAAAATATAAACTATTTTTTTCAGTTTAAAAATATCAAAATATTACATTATATCATTAAAAATATGAATACAATAATATATACAATATAATATACTTTAAAATATATAATGCATGTTAAATATATTTAATAATTATTAGAACAATAGTACATTAAAATGCACACATTAATATAGTTACATTAATACAAAAATATAAAAGATACATTTATTAATATAAAAAATATAATACTTTGCAGACTAATAAAATTAATAAATTTGAAAAATAGAAAATGAAAATACACATGCACTCACACAACCACACTCATACATATGTGTTGATGATTTATTATAAAATATGAATATAATTTAATACAATGCTTAAATACCAAAAATACTGATATAAAAATATAAATAAAAGCACACACTGACGGAACTATATATATATGTGTATGTATGTATGTATGTATGTATGTATGTATGTATATATATATATATATATATATATATATATATATATATATATATATATATATATACACACACACATACAGCATATATAGTTACATTTATATATACTTATAAAAAAGGTAAATGTGTAAACATAAAACAACAAAATACATTTCTTGTAATCAAAATTTGTTTTATAATAAGGTATAGTGTTGATGATCATTGTGTATACATTAAATTTAGAATTCTGCATCCTATTTGCTAACTTTCAGTCATGAAATGGAAAATAAATTCCGAGTGCACATGCTTCAACACACTGAGCTGGTCATGTCACATCCAACCATCAGAAACCCCAAAACATCTCCTGTTGCATCATCTGCAAACATGTCCACATTCTTCTTCCACAGATTTTCACTGAGCTGTGTGATCACTCCTTCATCTGACTGAATTGCATAGGAACTGAGCAGTGTGTGTTCTTAACAAACATCTATTGTGTCAGAGTGTAATGTTGACTGCTGTGCTTTAGAAAGCTTTCTACTGAAGGTTTCCCACGTCGCGCCCTTGTTCTCTTCACCTCGCGTTTCCACGCGGCTCCATTCTCTTTTAGATTTTCCCTTTAAACGCTCAAGTTACAACTCTCCCACAATGAGATGGAGGGAACAGAGAAAGCAAAGGTAAAATGAAAGAAAAGCAGGAGAGAAGGAGAGGTGGATGAGTTTCTGAGAGAGAGGACAGGCACTCTCCTTTGAAGTGTTAAACATCCTTGAATAATTTAGTGCAGGCTAAGTATAGCTCTAAAACAGCCATTTCCATCTCAGAAATAAACCCTCGCTCCACAAGCGTGCGACATCTCGCTCGTACTGCCTTCTGTGTCGCATTCGTTCTTCCAAACAATTCCAGCTTCGTTCAACCTACACTTGAACCCGTTCTCTAGGAGCGGGAATCGCCAGGGATCTTACCACACAATGCAGTCACGATACCTCAGCCGCCATGCTGTTTGCAGTAGGACATTCGCATGATATTCACAGCAGATTTTATATCACAAGACAATTGACTCTCATACAGACAGTTTCCATTGGACCAGCGTCTAGATCTGGATTGGTTTCATTACAACCACAAATTTTAAAAACTTAATCAAAATCCTGTCATAATTTTTTTTTCTCGTAATGAAACTGAAAGGGGAAACTCTGGAGAATGAAAGAAAAAAAAATCGGTAACACTTAATTTTAAGGACCAATTCTCACTATTAACTAGGATGGATATTACAGGCATATCAGCTGTTTATTAGTACTTATAAAGCACATATTAATACATTATTCTGCATGACCATATTTTAGATCCCTTAATCCTATCCTATACCTAAACTTAACAATTACCTTACTAACTTATAACTAACTAAGCATATATATATATATATTTAAAGTAATGAATACTTAACAATAAAAACGTATAATGTTAGTATTACAAATAAATGCTCTTCTTTTGAACTTTCTGTTCATCAAAGAGTCCTTAAAAGCATGTATTATGGTTTCCACAAAAATATGAAGCAGCACAACTGTTTTCAACATTGATAATAATAATAAATGTTCTTGAGAAGCAAATCAGCATATTAGAATGATTTCTGAAGGATCATGTGACACTGAAGACTGGAGTAATGATGCTGACAATTCAGCTTTGCATCACAGGAATAAATTACATATTCACATAGAAAACAGTTATTTTAAATTGTAATAATATTTCACAATATTACTGTTTTTAATGTGTTTTTCATCAAATAAATGCAGCCTTGGTGAGCAGAAGAGACTAAAAATATTTCAGTTATATAGTGTATATATATACATATATATATATATATATATATAGCAGAAATATGTGACAACTACCAAAATAAACAAGTTGCAACGCGTGGTAAATGCTAAAAAAAATGCTACAAAAAATGTCACTATTAAAATGCAAAAATTAGTATTCCTGTAGTTTACCTAGTCGCAACCAAAGTCATAGGTTTGATTGTCACTGAGCACACAAACATAAATGCTTTGGTTAAAAGCGTCTGCCACATGAATGAAAACAAATTAATAAAAAAATCTAGTTTTGATTATATTGATTTCACAGTTGAACACTGTATTAAGTGTTAAACTGTATTACAGCTCTTCACACCAGATACTGCATTAAACATCCAGAGCAGAAGTTTATAGAGTAGGCACATTAACTCTGATATTTCACCCAAGACTCATCACTGTGAGCGTAAAACTTTTTGTGCCGCTTTAACAATCTTGTCTGCTTCACTGCTTCCTCCTCTCCTGTCCTGTTTGCTCTGCCGGGTCTGAACGGGTCTTACCTGCAGGTGTCCTCCTGAATGTAGAGGGCGATGAGCTGCTTCGGGATGCTGAAGGACAGCGTACACTCCGCCATCTGTTCCCGAACCAACATCCATTTACTGTCCACCGTCTGAAACCTGTACACCTTACACACAGCGTTCTTAAACACTGATGGAGAGAGAGAGAGAGCGAGAGAGAGAGAGAGAGAGAGAGAGAGAGAGAGAGAGAGAGACATTAAGCAAGAGATACAGCAACTTCTATATGTCTTTACATTTGATCATTTAGGCAAAGTACTGTGAAAAACAACACCGTAATTTCAGCCTGTTCCATCCACAAAGCTATTGTATAACTTGAGAAGACTTGGAAATATAGCACACGAGTTATGCGGAGCATTTTATGGTGTTTTTTGTTGTCTGACAGATGTTTATACTATATCCTACACTATTAAAACTGCTTTAAGAGCTGCTAACCAAGAGAGACGGAGGGGAAAGCGTTTCTGGATAGCCGTGAATGAGAGCGCAGAATGTGTTTAATGCTCTTATCAGAAGTGAGGCTGTGGCAGGAGAAGTTATTTCCTCGTGAAATCTTGCTCCTCATCAAGGCTTCGCTCTACAGGCGAGTCAACGGAGCAGGACCTGTGTGGAAATCTGCAAGCCTCGCCCGAGCGTTTACTTTCCTCGTGATAGAGTTGCCTAAATAGTGGACGCTTTCACCATTTCTGGTCTTTGTGGTTGCAGCCTGAGATTCTTATTAAATACACAGAAAAAAAAGACCTACCACAACTCCATAAGAGCTTAAACAAAGGGCTTTTTTAAAAAACATAATGAGGGTATATATAAAATGGAGAAGTCTGACTAACATAAATATAACGGCTGAAACCAGCAAGAATATTAAACTATCTAACATAAAATGAACCCTTCATGAAAAGAAGCTAGATTTAAATAAGTCTGTTTTGTTGCCCCTGTATCACTGCAAAAATGTTTTTCTTAATTAGTATTTTTGTTTTGTTTTCTAGTATAAATGTCTAAACATTCTTGAATCAAGATGCATTTACTTAACAAGTAAAATTACTTAAGATATTCTTAGTCTTGTTTTTTGAAAAAAAGTATCCAAATTTTGTAAGCTTTTGCTTAAAACAAGCAAAAATATCTGCCAATGGAGTAAGAAAAATAATCTTAATTCAAAGGCTAAACAAGATTATTTTTCTTGCCCCATTGGCAGATATTTTAGCTTTTTTTAAGCAAAAATTAAAAAAATTTGGATTTTTTTTTTTTTAATATCTAATATCGTAAGTCATTTTACTTGTACAGTAAATGCATCCTAATTCAAGAATTTGTAGATATTTATACTAGAAAACAAGATAAAAATACTAAGGAAGAAAATAATTTTTTGCAGTGTAACAAAACACAGGGTGTCACAATTTTATGTATATGTAATCATGTAGCAACAGGGTTGCATGCCAAATGTGGCACCTCTATACCTCTGAGAGAGAGAGAGAGAGAGAGAGAGAGAGAGAGAGAGAGAGAGAGAGACATTAAGCAAGAGATACAGCAACTTCTATATGTCTTTACATTTGATCATTTAGGCAAAGTACTGTGAAAAACAACACCGTAATTTCAGCCTGTTCCATCCACAAAGCTATTGTATAACTTGAGAAGACTTGGAAATATAGCACACGAGTTATGCGGAGCATTTTATGGTGTTTTTTGTTGTCTGACAGATGTTTATACTATATCCTACACTATTAAAACTGCTTTAAGAGCTGCTAACCAAGAGAGACGGAGGGGAAAGCGTTTCTGGATAGCCGTGAATGAGAGCGCAGAATGTGTTTAATGCTCTTATCAGAAGTGAGGCTGTGGCAGGAGAAGTTATTTCCTCGTGAAATCTTGCTCCTCATCAAGGCTTCGCTCTACAGGCGAGTCAACGGAGCAGGACCTGTGTGGAAATCTGCAAGCCTCGCCCGAGCGTTTACTTTCCTCGTGATAGAGTTGCCTAAATAGTGGACGCTTTCACCATTTCTGGTCTTTGTGGTTGCAGCCTGAGATTCTTATTAAATACACAGAAAAAAAAGACCTACCACAACTCCATAAGAGCTTAAACAAAGGGCTTTTTTAAAAAACATAATGAGGGTATATATAAAATGGAGAAGTCTGACTAACATAAATATAACGGCTGAAACCAGCAAGAATATTAAACTATCTAACATAAAATGAACCCTTCATGAAAAGAAGCTAGATTTAAATAAGTCTGTTTTGTTGCCCCTGTATCACTGCAAAAATGTTTTTCTTAATTAGTATTTTTGTTTTGTTTTCTAGTATAAATGTCTAAACATTCTTGAATCAAGATGCATTTACTTAACAAGTAAAATTACTTAAGATATTCTTAGTCTTGTTTTTTGAAAAAAAGTATCCAAATTTTGTAAGCTTTTGCTTAAAACAAGCAAAAATATCTGCCAATGGAGTAAGAAAAATAATCTTAATTCAAAGGCTAAACAAGATTATTTTTCTTGCCCCATTGGCAGATATTTTAGCTTGTTTTAAGCAAAAATTAACAAAATTTTGATTTTTTTTTTTTTAATATCTAATATCGTAAGTCATTTTACTTGTACAGTAAATGCATCCTAATTCAAGAATTTGTAGATATTTATACTAGAAAACAAGATAAAAATACTAAGGAAGAAAATAATTTTTTGCAGTGTAACAAAACACAGGGTGTCACAATTTTATGTATATGTAATCATGTAGCAACAGGGTTGCATGCCAAATGTGGCACCTCTATACCTCTAAAAGGTTATTTAAATGTTATTAAGATATATTTTAAATGTAGTCAGATGTACAGCCATTGTGCAATTGTTATTCTTTTGAATAATGCAACTTAAGCTACTATATATATACAGTGGGTACGGAAAGTATTCAGACCCCCTTAAATTTTTCACTCTTTGTTATATTGCAGCCATTTGCTAAAATCATTTAAGTTAATTTTTTTCCCCTCATTAATGTACACACAGCACCCCATATTGACAGAAAAACACAGAATTGTTGACATTTTGGCAGATTTATTAAAAAAGAAAAACTGAAATATCACATGGTCCTAAGTATTCAGACCCTTTGCTCAGATATATATATCTTACATTAATATATTTAATTTGATTGCATTATTATATATAATCTCATAATATATAAAATCAGATTTAGATTAAAATATTTTCCTTTCTACAAAAAAAAATAAAAAATAAAAATAATAATTCATGACCACCAAAACACTGCATTGTGTCCTTAATGGAAGCAGAAAGTACAGACATGTAGTTGGCTGAGGATGTCGAGTGAAGACAGAGACAGATGGATGCGTGACCTCCAGAGGAGGAGAAGCGGACTCAAACTCCCTCATCCAGTGCAGAGTTCTTCACAGAAGAGGACTAACCTCCGACTCCGCCCTCCCGTCTGCCCTCTAATCCAACGGCCAATCAGATCGCAGCATCTCTGCCTGCTCAAGCTCTTAGGGAAATGACTGTGCGTTGAGTTCGTGTTGAAGCACAGGGGTCGGGGTGATGAGGACACATTTCATTAGCCACTCTTACCGAAGCAGCAGAGACTAACACATTTTGACGGTGTGATTAAAACAACAGCCATCGACAATGCCACAATGACATTCAATACGGATACAGACACGTCAAACAAATAAACACAGCGAAACATTAGATGCGAAGATAACACCCAACACCCTGGACTTCTGAAGAGATTCGTCTGCCGTTCCCGACTTCCCCTCCATCCATCACATCACAGCAGCTCATAAATAAAGAAATGACCTTCTACAGAGTTTGTTTCTCAGGGAACTTTTCTCATCCTGAGACTTCGGGTCTATTCACTCACTAATAATATGCCAAAACTATCCGACACATCCCAACTCTCTTTTCCTCCTTGTGCAAATTTAAACGGACTCAACTGAAATGGCACAAAACTATTGCATTCCCCCAATACTGTTTATTGCTACGTTACCTGAGGTAATCAAGGTAATGAGCTGCACTTCACACTGCTGCTGGCTGTTATTTATCCGCAGCAATCACACCGTTCACTGGGACGGCAATCAAACGCTGCCAAATCCACTTCATAATCTCAGCAATACGGATGGGAATCATACGGAATTCTATTCTGCTTCTGATTCTACTTAATGATTCCATTAGCTACTGATTATTTCATTGCTCGCCCACATAATTGGACTGAAAATACACCAAACAAACATGCTAAATTAAAACAACACTATATTTGATTACATATTCCGTCTTAAGGACCATTTATTCCAACAAAACTATGCTAGAATAGGAAATTGGGGCTGAAAAACAAAAGCTCATTTAAAAAAAAGGTGCTTTAGAAAACGTTGTTTGTCCACCACAGGAGGTCATAGTAAGTATAATGAGATGTTTTATTTTCTATTCATTTCATAATGTCGTAAAATCACGTGAATGTGGGTGTTATTTTCTAGGAAAAAACACACAGAACGTAATTTGATGAACAGAAAAGATCAAAAGAACAGCATTTATTTCAAATAGAAATCTTTTGTGACACTATAAATGTCTTTACTCTCATTTTTGATCAATTTAGAGTTCAAATGATGTCCCTTCTTGGGTGTCATAACCAACTTTAACCAGATTGTGTTAGAAAACAGCGAGCAAAAGGAGATGTTCTGCTCAGGCCTTCTGCTTTCCAGAGAAAACGTATCAAGCATCATCTCATGAGTTTCAGCAGAGATCACAAACTGCTCAAATTCATCAAGACACAAAAGTCTGTGAACAAAAGTCAAAGAACTCAATATGAACTCATCAGATTATCCGAAGCCTGAATGATCTGAGCTGCAATGCACTTTCCTTTATAGCTCTACAGTTGGATTTTACTTCAGCAACTGCCTCATTTTGTATTTCCTCTAAAGAATTTAAAAGAAACATCTGAGACAAAATGTTGATCCATACATGAAATATAACACTTTGAAGGAGTTTGAAGAACCACCCCTGAGCAATCAAATGTTCCTATAGGAAATTACATCACATGTAACAGTGAATTCTGTATGGCTGCAGAGCATGAGAGGTTTGGCTGGTTAGCATGACCTAGTTAACCGCTGATGGAAGATGGTTTCAAAAAGCATATCCTGTCACCACTCATCGCAATCCAATCCATGCATTCTATACATTTCAATAACATAAAATGGTAATTTTCCATTATATTATAAAATATCAATAAAGTTTCTTCTGCTGACTAAGGCTGCATCAGAACAACTGCAAAAAATGTGAAATATTAATACATTTTAAAAACACTGTTATCTATTGTAATCAATATTAAAATGTAATTTATTCCTGTGATCAAAGCTGAATTTTCAGCATCATTACTCCAGTCTTCAGTGTTACGTGATCCTTCAGAAATCATTCTAATATACTGATTTGATGCTCATTAAACATTTCTTATTAGTTTTTTCAGTATTCATAGATAACTAGAAAGTTCAAAAGAAAAGCATTTATTTGAAATAGAAATCATTTGTAACATTATAAAAGTTTTTACTGTCGCATTTGAACAATTTAATCCATCCTTGCTGAATAAAAATATTAATTTATTTTTAAATAATAAAAAGTCTTACTGAAAGTGCCCAATTCTACCTTAAAAGTGTGACGTGGACATTTTTATTTATTTATTTATTTTAATCATGTATGTGTTGCCATCAGCATTGTCATTTTTCTGTGAATATATCTAGTCACATGACATTTATGCATTCAAAACAACCCAGCAGCGGAAATTAAACGATGGCGTATTTCAAATCACACGCTTCCACTAACTCTCTTTCTTCAAGTATTAGAAACTTTACTGCATATGAGCAAAAAACTCAAAATATAAAAGATTTTTTAACTCACCAGCATTCATTATTGGTCCGTTATCTTTGTCACTAATCCTTCCATGTGACGACTCGTACACCAGCGTGCACTGTGGGAAGAAAACAAGATTGTGCATTGGAGACTGAAGCTCATTTGTCCCGATTATTAGACATCGGAATAATGACTACTACTCTAAATACAGTCGACGACATCAGAGAGTTTAAAACATAACATCATCCCGTGACTCTCTCTCTCCATCTCACGAGTCGAACACAGTGACAAGCTGTCACCTGCACCACTGCTCAGATAATAGAGGACTTCTCCAAGTATCCCCCAGCGACAATGTAAGCAATCCAGGAGAGGAGAGACCCTCACAGCAGCTCAAGACAAACACGACCCTCCATCAACATCAGCCGCAGCGCTTACGGACTAATCACTTGAAATGCATCGCCCGCATCAGGGTTTAGTGCGATGACGGATGAGTCTTCACGTCTCATTAGGTCTCATGACCTTGGATGGGTCTGTAAGAGTTTCCAGTCAGTTCTTGGCACACAGCTCAAGAGGGAGAAAAAAAAAACCAAAACAAGAGAAGGGTTGCAATCAGGCCTTGTTCTTGTTCTGTGGCAGATGCCCCTCAAATCCATCCATCTATTCATCTATCACCCATCCTCTATCTATCTATCTATCTATCTATCTATCTATCTATCTATCTCCCATCCATCCATCCATCTATCCATCTATTTATCTATCACCCATCCATCCATCCATCTATTTATCTATCACCCATCCATCCATCATCTATCTATCTATCTATCTATCTATCTATCTATCTATCTCCCATCCATCCATCCATCCATCCATCTATCCATCTATTTATCTATCACCCATCTATCCATCTATTTATCTATCACCCATCCATCCATCTATTTATCTATCACCCATCCATCTATCTATCTATCTATCTATCTATCTATCTATCTATCTATCTATCTATCTATCTATCTATCTATCTATCTATCACCCATCCTTTAATCCATCCATCCATCCATCCATCCATCCATCCATCTATCCATTTATCTATCACCCATCCATCCATCTATCTGAAATGCAATTATGAAATATAATTATGTATATTATTAATAAAAATCAAATAAATGTAAAAATAAAAATGCAATCCTAAAAATAAATATACAAGCCTATGGACAAACAAACAAATAAAAACTTTTTTTATATATTATAAATATCAAAATACCCCACATGAAAAATGGGTAATGACTATATGGGTATTTCAAACTGAAAAATTAAACGCATTATTATGATAGCTTGGCAAACTCAACAATCTGTCCGTGCGGTCTATATACTTTTCAAACTTCAACTTTTAGACAAGGTTTTGCCAATCCAACATTCAAAGTTCGTCTTGACAAACTTTCCTTTTCAAGTTACAAACAATTTATTTCTACTTCCCTGCATTCAAATATAAATTCTGAATCTCGCTTGCTACCTCAATTCAAATTCAGGATTGTCATTTATAAGGCATTCTCTGTTTAAACTCTTCACGTTTCTGTATTAAAATATTTGTTAAATATAACAAAAAGTTGTGTGTCTGATTGGTCCAAATGCTACAGGTGCTCAGTCTACATATCCTCCATTTCCTCTCTCATGTCCTTCATCCATCTCCATAATGCTCCATAATTCTCACACCCTTCTGGTTTCTTCCCCATATTCTGTCTGTGCCTCTTTCATGCTGATTAATGAAGGTTAAAGGGCTCTGCTGATGGGCGTGTGAGTGCAAGTTATTGAGTTTAGGGGACATGAAGGGTGTTATGCTGTCTGTCAGAATAATAATACACAATTTCAATTTTCAATAATACTCAATTTTCCCTGACACACAGGACAAAAGTAGATGAGGACACACATTCGGCTTATTTCCACATGCCCATCATGTATGTCTTCATATACTGGATAAAATATTCCACAATATTCCATAAACATGCATACACACACACACCTTCAGGCAACTGTGCAATTTAATTTCTGGCCACGCACAATATTCACTCCACTTTCCCTCTTTGACTGAAGACACGTCCTGAGAGGTGATTTTCTATTACCAGCCCTTACAAATTGCATGCATATGCACAAAAAAGACAACTTCCCACAATACAAGCCACTCTTAATTTACAGTAGCTCAACAGCAGTCAAGCGACTTGAAAACGACTTGAAAACGTAGTTAGCTATACAACAAGCTACTAACACACTTCATTGAAGCATTGCATTTAACTAAATATTTTACTTCAAAAACAACTAAATTAAACCACTAATCATTTATTTGATCTGTGAATCATTCATTTAGATGAACTGTTCAACCACAATAAAATAGGATGAAAAATACAGTGATTTGTCTTGAAAGCAGCTGAACTACTGGTGTAACAAAAATACAATATTACCTAAAAAATAAAATGCCTATATATTTCAACTTAAAATATGTCATTCATAAAATGAAAGGTAACTTATTAAACATAAACTATGTACATAATAATCATAAAATTCTACAAAATTGATTTAATAAATGTAGAAATAAATAAATAAACAATTTGGGCAAACTAAACTGTCTGCCTATAAAGTCTATATACCAGGGATCCTCAAATCTGGCCCATGAGATCCACTTTCCTGCCAAGTTTAGCTCTAACCCTAATCAAACACACCTGTGCATGCTAATCTATGTCTTCAGGATCATTAGAAAATCACAGGTAGGTGAGTTTGATCAGGGTTGGAGCTAAACTCTGCAGCGCATTGGCCCTCCAGGGCAAGATTTGAGGAACCCTGCTATATACTCTTCCAAGGCTACACTAGGCAGTCAAACTAGTAGTGTTATCGAGTCAGTAGCTAGTTGTAGTTTTTTAGCTTACCTTCTGGTGCATGTCGGCGGTAATGTGGTCCACCTCACCATCCTCTATCTCACCCATCTTCATCCGGCTCACCACCACTGTGCCCACGGTAGCTGAATCATCTGCTGTCCTGAAACACATTAACACAACGACACATGAGTCTCCATACATGTGTGGCAACATCTTCATGAAAGAGAGCATTTAAATTACACCCATCATCTTTCATTACGTTTGGTCATTTCCGATGTTGGGGAGCAACTAGTTCCCATTCAGTCAGTCACGTTTCCAGAGCTGACCGCTATGCTTTCCCGGGCCGCTGAGAGCGTCGGGCTGCACTGGAGGCCTCCGCCTTCTCCCGAACGCTCGAGGCAATGGGACGAGCCCCTCTGTCTGCTCGTCGCCGAGGGCGCCCTCCTGCCCTGACGTAACGTCTCCGTTCCCTCCTTCAGGGAACGAGGGTTACACAAGTAACCTAGACGTTACATGTAACAGTGTTGCGTAATTTAATTACTAAATAAATGTAATCTGTTACAGCTACTGTGACAAAATGTGTAATTAAATTACAGTTACTTCTGAAAATAATATATTTTCTGTAAAAAGCTAAGATATGTTGAACAATATTAATTTGTTGTTTTGTCTGTTTTTGATATGCACAATGCCTCCTTCCACTTAAAGGGGCCGTTGACATGTCGCGCCTAAAAATGCGCTTGCAGTAGCTCTGCTACTAAATTTATTTAAAAATGGCTATCCCTGTACAGCTATGATCAGCTGTTACTTCATCTTGGCTGAGCTTTCAATGTTGTTACGGGAAAGGATGAAACTGATTGGTTGGTTCTTATCACATGACCTGCGGTGCGCTTGCGGCATTCTGAAAAGTTGAAATGTTTTTATCTCGATGCGACGTGGACGTGCCTGGAAAAAAAATTAGCGTCTACATTTGAAATAACGAACTTGAGCGCGCAAAAGACGTGATATGTGAATGGCCCTAAAGACTGTTTAGTAATGCGATGCTATTCTGATGCTTTTGATTGGTCCTCTTGTTTGAATTAGCATTTGATTTTGATTGGTTTTCTCTTGTTTGAAAGCTTTAGGCCACAACCTGTCTTAGGCCCGATCAGACAGAACACATTTTTTGCAGTGAGAGGCACATTTTTTAAATTGTTTTCTATTGGCAGTGACTGTTTTGCACGCTGTTTATGCGCCTCGGGCACCTTGCATTTGTGTAGGAGCACTCTGAGCGCCTAGAATAGCGCCGACGCATAATTTTTTTTCCCATTGTCCAATCGAATGAATGGAGAGGCGGGCCTTCCGTTGTGGTGACGGAAGTTTACAGTTGCTTGGAACCGTTCGGAACCAATGGAATGTCCAAAGACTGCAATAATGGAGGAGAAACTTGTCGTGGCTGTCGCGGGTCACCTGGAGCTGTATTTTTTTTAAAGTTTCTGCTAATATGACAGCAAACCAAAGATTTTAGAGCGCTCGCGCTGTAATCCTTGATTAGACTGACAGGACAGCTGATTCTGTGGTTGCCTAGCAACATTAAAAAAAACTAGTGCACTGCTCTTTTCTAAATGAAAAAAAGTCAACCAAAAAAGGCGGTGTGCCTCGCATTTTCAAACTTGAAAAACGCATTCTGTCTGATCGGGGCCTTAGAGTTGATTAACTGATTAACAATTGAAAACATTCGTTAGAAATTTAGAAAAGCAGCCTAATCAAAAAATGTTATCAAATGTAATCCGTTACATTACTTTAATAAAGTAATTGAAATAGTTATACTAATTACATTTTAAATAGGGTAACTTGTAATCTATAACCGATTACATTTCCAAAGTAACCTTCACAACACTGTTCATTTCATCCAATCATATTCATTGTATAGTGCGTCAGATTTAAAAATCTCCTTTAAAAGTGACACTGCAGCCTCGCTAAAGTAACTAAAACTCATATTAGATATCCTGTAGACATTAGCATTGATTAAGCAAGATTACTCAGTTTCTCAGTAGTAAGCAGTTACTACTGAGAAACCGAGTAATCTTGCTTAACTTGCTCAGGTTTGGCACGATCGGATAGGGCCCCAGCTGTGGCTGTTCGCGTGCCAGCAGACTTGGAGCGAGTCTGATATTTGAGGTTATGATTGACATCAAATTAACTTTGAAGCTCGATTGAGTCAAGGAGGAGAGAAAAAGACATCCAGTCAGCCTTTAGAGGCACATTGGCAAATTACCCATCCATGAACATGACCTAGACAAATCTAATTGGCCCTGGGTCTCTTTATGACAACAGTAAATCAGAGAGTATTGTTATGAGAAGAGCTAGCGCTTTATGCTAATAGATCTGAATGAGACGCCATTAGCAACCCATTTTACTTCTGTAATGTGACACTTTTCTGAGTGAAACAGGATATTTCATGATTGAAAGAAACACAGGGACTTTTTATCCATCGGGGATTAATTAGAAAGCGACAAGTAGTCATTACATAGCAAAAATGGTGCTCGATGGTTGGAGGGGGTTAATAAAGTAAGAGGCATTCATGATGTTAGTCGAAAATTAAAGTCATTTCAGAGGCAGCGCAAGTTATTATGATGTGGTACTATTTTTTTAATATATATTTTTAACTTAAAGTCAGTGTCACTACATATCCTGTCATGCAAGAAGATCTTTGTGGAGTTTATGAACTTACATACACCACAAACGCAAAAGATTTTTGAACCTGCCACACCACTGTGCATTTAAAACAAGCAATATACAGTATATATATATATATATATAAAAAGTGACAGTAAAAATAATTACAAAATTACAAAGATTTCTATATATAAAAAAAAAATATATATATATATATATATATATATATATATATATATATACAAAACACACTACTATTCAAGTTTGCAGTCAATAATATATATTTTAAGAGATTAGTACTTTTGATCATTAAATTGATCAAAAGTGACAGTAAAGGCATTTATAATTAAAATTTTTTAATGTCATAATTTTGACTATTTCTGACATAATTTCATATTATGTCATAATTCTGAATTATCAAAGAATGATTTTGTGTTTGAAAAACAGACAACATATCTGGCAATCTCATGTCTAAAATGCAAGTTACTCAATATTAACTTTATTTATTGAACTCTTGTATAAAATTAATAACACACAATTATGATGCCTCCTTGTTACTTATTAACTTCTGGGAAATGGCTCCAGCCATTGTTGCACATTTTAATGTGACATTTTAATTTTAGTAACTGAGTCTTGGCATCTTTTGAGCTAACTACGTATACACATGTATCATGTACCAAAGTCCTGCAAAGTGTAAAAAAGGGCAAAGGAAAGAGCAGCAGTGGTGAGAATCATAAATCTTCTCACATACAGCATCACAAGACTTGATGATTTATGATGCCTTTAAACTCACAGCTGACTCTCACACTATTTCCCATTGTGATTAACAGCAGAGTCAATTATGAGAGGCAGAATTAATACTTCAAAGCTACACACGTCTTTATTTTGAGGTAGAGGGCATTTTAAGGATGCAGTGCTTTCCACACAGACAGGACCTGATAGTCAAGATACTGTATTGGTGCCTCTCACACAAGGACTGAGATAGGTTGAATTTGTACATGATATTCAAGAGGGAGAGACGTGAAAAGCTAAATGAAGAGCGACATTGAAAAGAAGCACTTCAGTGGAATGGATGAAACCAACCTTACTCTTCACCAGCCGACACACTGGGTTCTGTGTCAACCAAATAATCTATAATACCTGAAGAGAGCGATCCGTTAGCATTGCCATTCAGTTCAGTTTCTCGGCTGAAGTGCAATCTGCCATCTTTGCTTAAGAGCACTGAGATTCACAGTTTAGTTTTCCTTGACTGCCGTCAAGGAAGAAAAATAAAATACATTTAAAATAATAAAATTACTACATTTTAAAATAAATTATAAAACTAACTAAACTAAAATTAAATGAAATTAAATACAAAACTAAATTTTTAAATACAATAAAAAACTATGAAACTAACTTAAAATAAAAAACATAAATCAAAATAAAATAAATATAATTGTCACAAATTCGGTCTGTGGCCACCAGAGGTCGCCTTCTGATTATATTGACTCTCACACTACACAGACTTCCACATGTCACCACGGACTACATTTCCCATACTCCATTTCACTGATTACGTTTACACCTGCAGTCAATTACACCCACTATAAGAATCAGTCTCAAACAACCACTCACGGCCGAGTATTGTAAGCACATATCGCTACCCTAGCTGATGGCTACTTTACGCAGCCTGCTCTAGTTTTCATAGTCTACTCATTGTCATAGTCTTGCCTTGCCTGCTTTCCCGTGTTCGGATTCTTGCCTGAGTATTTTGGATTACCCTTTCGTCTTGTCTTTTGGATTATGTTTGCACCTTGCCTGGACTATTGCTTGTGTTCCTCGGATTACCCCTCTTGTCCAGCCCTCTGGATTACGTTCACCATCGATCTACCCACGCCTGTTTAACGGATTACTCTTGTGTCTCGCCTGTGCCATATCAGTTTGCTGGTGTTCGACCCTGCCTGTTTCTGACCATGTCTTTTAATAAAGCTTTGCAAATGGATCCGCACGTCTCACGTCTTGTTCGCCCCGTAACAATAATACAAAACTAAAAAGTACATAATTAACTTAAAAATAAAATACAAACAAATTGAAAAATAAAATAAAATACAAAACTAAATAAAATAAAATGTATAAACATGTATGAGCTCCTGGCTCATAGGTTAAAATAAAAACAAAAGGTTCAAAATAAAATTATATGTAATGAAATGTATATAATAAAATAAAATAAAATGTATAAACATGTATGAGCAGCTAGCTCATGGGTCAAAATAAAAACAAAAGGTCCAAAAGAAAATGTTATCATAAAAAAGCCCCACATATAAATTAACAGTACATTAAACAATTCTGACATTCATTTACGTCCATGGCTGAAAAAGTAAAGTCAAATAAAGTAAATACTGTTGTAAACGTGTTACAAAAACTGTCATACATTCTTGATTCTTGGTATTATTCCACAACTCATTAGGAATCAGAAACTGCGTTTCCCCCTCGCTAGTTCAATCAAAAAACAATGTTGCGAACCGG